GAGATGGGGGAGGTGAAGAGGAGGGAGCTTGTTTGGTTCTCTCTGTAGGAGGTGAAAGACTGTGCGCGGTTTTCGTGTGTAATCAAACCCCTGAGAACGGAAAAGTTGGCAACCAAAAGCTGCATGGAAAGCTTTGTTGACCAAAATTGATCATAGATGCGACAAAGCGCTGGACTAGTGTAGAACTTCATGTACAAACCAGATCTTATGACTTTTTCGCCAAACAAACTCAATGGATTTTACATGTACTTGGCCACACTCAACTCAATCTGCTGTCGTCGTGCGTCTGTGGAGATGGGAAATATTGAGATTATGACAAGAATAGATCGGCCATTTGCAAGCGGAAGGGTTCTGTTGTTTACATTGCCAAAAATGTGTGCTTACACAGCCTTTAAGTAGGCTGCAGAGCTCCGAGCCCCCCAACAGGGTCTGGTTGCACTTGTTGCGTCCAAACTGCCGAATCTGGGGTTCTTGCTATCCCAGCTGTCCAGAAATATGCCTGTGTGTACGAGCATCCACTATACACCGAAACTGTTGCTTTGATAACCTGTTCTACACATAATAACTGTTTACTGAATGGGAGGTGGTGGGTGGTAAGAAAGACCCCACAGTGAACAGCAGGTGCCATACTGAGTCACACCTCCTATTCTGTGTTTGTTTATCGGACACAGACGTAGACACATTTCATTCAGATGCCCTCTTCCTCCTCATGCATGGAAGATCTTTGGGACTGTCAGACCATTCTTACTAAAAATGTTATTCCTGGATTTCTTGTTTAGACTATAACATTAATGAAGTTCAGAATCAGAATTCCTTTATTTGTCCTGCAATGGGGAAATGTGCGCCATTACAACAGCAGGCATATAGTGCAGGTTAATAGAAGGCACATGTTATTTGTAATAGAAAAACAAAATGAGTAAATACAAATGATAGACAAGTATAACATGGTAAAACATTTTTCAAAGTAGCTGGTACTGTTTTCTTTTCAATGTATTTATCTGTAAAGAAAGCGTAAATTGCACGACGGTATATTGCAGATGAGTTTGCACAGTATTATATTTACAGGAACATTTTTGCTTTTTCATAGTCCTAATATATTCCATTTGTCCTTCATGATTTCCCTGATCCCAAGGTGACATCTTCAAAGTGCACCTTGTTTATAAGACTTTCAGTCCCTATTTAAAAAATATTAACTTTAAAATCGTATAAACTGTCACTAATTGAGTGTTTTCCAGTTTTCTTTTTATCATTCAGGAAACTTTAACTCTTCAATGGGATCAATGTTTTTGTTGTGTTAATTGCTACGTTGTACCATGCTTTTATGTGTAGTATAACTTGTCACAAGTGGCATATCGGTCAATTTTACAGTCATTTGTAATCACATTGAAGTTTGGTTGTCAATGGATGTTTGTCAATCTTTTTGTCAATGCGATTGCATTCGATATTGGTGCTGTGTGTGTGTCTGCGTTAAACAGTCACACCCACTTGCTCTGGTTTGAAGACATTTGCCAAGCGGTTCACAGAGGTCATAAAACTCCAAAGCGTTTCATCCTTTGCTGGCTTTGAAGAGCATTCACACAGTCCACCCTTGTGCCCCCCCCCCACCCAGCTCAATTCACAATAACGTGCCACTCTATCTCCTTTACTGGTTACTCTACCTTTAATGAAAATGGATAGTCTCACACACATACACACACCCCAGCTGCCATTGATCCAGGCCCAATAAATGTTTTATAAGCCCCAATGTAAGGACACCCCCCTTTTATTCAGAAGGTGTCAATGGTTGAGTCCAGAGGGAAAGATTGCTGTGGTACCTTCCTGAATTCAGTAGGAGAATAATACTTTTTATGTGTTGCACACATCTACCCCCCATCCTCAATCATTGGTACCATTAAAGTGGTGGGTGTCTTTCTCTACGGCACGTAAACACACTTTAAATTGTTCCAATTCAATACTAATGCAGATTAGTTTTGACCCTAGAATGACCTGGAATTTCTAAACCCTCTGAAGTCAGACTTGTAGAATAACAGAGAAGATATGTGGGAAGAAAAACACTTGACAATGAATGAATGTTAATGAATGAAACGGCCTCGAGGAGAGGATGGGCCCCTCATTCGTCAATTAGTGGGTTCAGATTCATTCCTACCACTATTTCTTTCCAGACTGTTTTCCCATATCTAGCCACTCTGCATGATATTGTGTGGTTTTAGAACAACCAAGCTAAAAAACATGCAGTGAAAGCTTCAGCGAGACTTATTGTAAGCTGAACCACAAGTTTCCCTTCTGCCCTTTCTTCTTCTTCTCGTTAGTGAAAAAGGGTGGCACCGTGTTACAGGAAATGCCTTTTAACACAGCAGGAAGGAGAAACGTTGCCCCCTCTGGGTCCAAGTCTTTGTGTTTATCTGATGGCAGTAAAAGGCTGGCCCAGTGTTTGTGTTTGGGTTGTTTGAGTTGTCGTGGGTTCAGGCCATCACTCAGTTCCTTTAAAGTCTTACAATCCCTTGGTGTTGGCCAGTCAGGGGTTAAGCTTAAAATTCTTGTTTCTGAATTAGCACGCCAGGAATGAGAAAAATCCAATGAGCCTAACTGGACCTGACTTGTGCAGAGGCTAATGGTTAATAACAAGCCATGATGGAATTTCCCTTTGATTCTGTGGAGGTGACTGGAGTTCTCTCAGATATTTTCTCAAGGGTGTAGAATGCTCTCATGTTGAACTTTGATGGCATAATGGAATTTTAATGGCTTTGAAGGGATAACGTGCGAGACCATGGCCTACGATTCAAAATATTCTGATGGGAAGTGTTACTGTGATTTCTAGAGAACAATAACCAGAAAGGGCTGCATTACTGAAAAGTCAAGGAATCAACCAACATCTAACGGCAGTGTTTCCCATACATTAATTTATTTGTGGCGGGCTGCCACAATGAAATATCGTCCGCCACAAATGGATCTCATAAAAAAAAATATATATAATAATAATCTTTTTTATTTTATTTTATTTTATTTTATTTTGGTGGTCTAATCGGATAGTGAGTTGGGCTGATGATTGGAAGGTTGCGAGTTCAAATCCCGCCTGGAACACCACTACTAGTGTGCCCTTGAGTAAGGCACTTAGCCCTCAGTTACTTGAGACAATTGGTCATTGTAAATTGCTTTGGAATAAGGCGTCTGCTAAATGCCTAAATTGTAAATTATATTTTTGGGAGAATAAACCCCACAGATCCTCAACTCCGGTGTGTCTCACTCATTAACAACGTAACACAGAGCAACAAGAACGTTGTCTACAGTAGCCATGAACTCGCATGTATTTTCTTATTTGAGGGGGGGGGGTGGATGCGTGGGCCACCCGAATAGGTTAAGGGGCCTTTGGCTTTTCTTGCTGGAGGGGGGGGGGGTGCGGTGCCCCCACAAATAGAATCAAATTCTGTGGGAAACACTGAACGGCTTCAGTTCTTTATTGTTTAGCTCTGTTTGCACTGTGCACTCTTTGCAGCCTTTCAGTTTAATCCAGTTTGATTTTTCATAATGGTCTTGCCTACCTTAAACCGGTAAGCAAAGAGAGACATAAATACATTTCTAATATGAAATAGTCAAAATTATGCCAACTTCGGCAGAAAAATAATCATTATTGGAAACAAATTTGAGAAAATAAGCTTTCAGGACATTTTTGAAGTCTAATAAAAGTTTGTCTAAGACTTAATTGTATTACTTCTGTGCATTTTATATCAGCTGATCAACAGAATAAAACATTATTGTATAATACAGGATTGGTGTTGCAGTGTTAATTGAAAACAGATTTAAAAACACATTTTTATGGGTTATATGCATATAACAAGATGAAGCAGTGTGGGTCGTGTCTTTATGTATAATCTTGTGCTCTGAGACATGCAGTCGAATCTTGTTCGGTCATCATTTTCCCTACCATGGCACACACATAAACACACCCGCACACACATGCAGTATCACCTTCTCCGCATACCCTTTGCAACACGTGTTTAGACTGAGTGTCACAGAGGAATGAAGATATTTGGAGCCATTGACAAACATTTCTCAGTGACCAGAGAACACACCCAGTGAGACTTCACTCGCAGCTACATGTCCTACATTTTATTTGGCTGCTGTTGAGTTACATTCTCCCATAAAAGTGAATATTTGTGTGTTACTTGAACGGCTCACTTAAATGGATCGTCCAAACCCTGTTACACACTGGAGAATATTATATGTAAGGCTGTGTGTGTGAGTTACGCTCAGAGGGATTGAGTGTGTATTCCAGCTGACAGGTCTTTCATTAAAGCAGGGCGCAGGGCCATGTATCTGCAGCTGCCCCCTCTCTGTGCACTCTTTGATGGGGAGAAAGATGGCGTTTACTGCTACACCCATAGCTGGACTCACACACAAACCAACACTTGTTCTCATCTATGTTGTCTCAACACTCCTAGACCCACTGAGGGAAACATTGCTAGATAGGGAGGGCATGTTTCTGAGTTTCTTTATGGCTTTATACTGTAATCTACTGTATAAGAGGACCCTGTTGGAGTTACAGAACACGCTAAAGCCACGAGAGTCATATCCTTGTGTGTTTAATGAGCAGAGCAGTTGCTGGTGTAACGGTCTATGTCATTTGTTCTTGGTGCTCCAAATAGTAGCAAGAGGCGGCCCCTGGCACTGGTTTATTGAAACACACACACACTCACAAATATAGCCATCCATTGTTTAACCAGCCAACAGACTTAAAGGTCTCAACCGTCACTCTGTTTATGTTGTGTTTGTCTAGCGAAGATAGCAGTCCCACCTGTTCCTTGTCTGCACTGTACATACACACTCGCATGCACACATGCTAATAAAAATGACGGATCCATTAGTTCAGGTGGCGTCTGTTCCAGCCTTTGCATTATGACAAAGAGCGCTTGCAAATGGCAGTTGAACTAACCCTTTGTAAAGTTGCGCGCTGATCTCTATGTTGAATGTTTGTCTAATGAGTATTTGCCTTCTGTGTCCAGGTTTGGATGACAACCTGCAGCAGTATGTGACCAACTTTGAGCGGGAGAAGATCAGCGGGGAGCAGCTGCTGAAGATCACGCACCAAGACCTGGAGGAGCTCGGCGTGGCCAGGATCGGACACCAGGAGCTGGTGCTGGAGGCGGTGGATCTGCTCTGCGCTCTGGTCAGTAGAGACATGCTGGGAATGTGCAACTTGATATGTATCCGGATACAGTAGAATTGTCTTATGAAGGATTTGTGACCAAGCAAGAGCTCTCTTTTGGTCATTAATCTTCTCCCTTCGCTCTAAGTATCTACAAAGTAAACCAAGCCTGTAGCTTCTGGTCCGACTGCTAAAAGAATCCTGCAGGAAGGACTATCATTTCCCAAATAGCTCAGCAGAGTGTAAAGTCACCACAACACACAGCAGCCCGAGGACATTGGGGAACAGAAGTGTCACTCAAACAGAAGAGAGACTGGGTCAAAGGGGCATTGGGCTCAATTTGGCAGTTGGAAGCTGTGTGAGATGATTATAGGCAGTTATGTAGCAACAGGTGACAGTTTGATCTGTTTGGAAGATAAGATATATGAACTCTCTCTCTCCACTCTCCCCTCATGGGTACACCACATACAAAATACTTGAAATATTTGTTGTCGCTATTTTGAAACAAACAGACACGTCAGGCAGGTCATTCCTACTGCTGCAGCCTTCTACCTACCTGAGCCATCTTTCCAGCTTTAATTATAGATCCCCTGTTCGGCTCTTATTAGTCACTCTCAGAGCAAACCAGCTGAATCTTTGTCCATCATCATAGCTCCCAGAAGAACTGCCATTAAAAAGTATATCTGCCTTCAACTCGTGAGACTTGAGTGATGAAAACCCTCCATGCTCCAGCTGAAACAGAACCAGGTTTTCCAGCAGATGGGATGGATTTGGAGTTTTATCACTTCCTGTGCCATAAAAGTCCCAGATTGTGGTCCATGCGTTTTGATCAGCGTCAGCATTTCTGCCTTTGTGCTCTGTTAAAATCCTTAACATTAATCGTTCGGGCATGGTTATTTTTACACGGAGGAAACTTAAAAGTCAAATATTTCCTCCGCGACATGAGGCTGCATTTTACACTGATGCTGATCTGATAGCAGTAGGTCAAATGGGGTTTGGAACAACACATTATATGGCCTTAAATAGATTTATTTGTGAGTGATCCTCAACCTCAGCACATTGAAGCTATACATGGCTTTTTCTAGAGTTGTATAAAGCCGGCACATGTGTGATTTAGTGTGCGGTTAGCAACAAACTCTTAACACTTAACTTGCATATTAATATCATTGTGTGGCTCCTCTGTCTACTAGTCTAACCAGAAGCATACAGGTTTAACAGGGACATTATTATTTGGTGATTCTCTTCCCTCCAATTCAAAACACTCTTCTATTGTTTCGTATTCTCCAAAATGCTAAGATAACCTGTTAACAATATCTTTCCTTTACCTGTAACCAATTTAAGTAAACATCTGGAAACGCTTGTCACGTACATCGGTGCCTTTGTCTGTTTTTGATAGATTTACTCATCGCAGAATATGTACCATATGGTATATCTTGTGGTCCATAACTTATTTCATCATGACTGTAACCAGGTCCAGGTCTTTGTTCAACCCTTAACCCCTGACATCAAGGCATTGGATACTTAAAGGTCCCATGTCATGGCCATTTCTACTGATCATAATTCCATTGTTGAGGTCTACTAGAATACATTTATATTGTGCAATTTTCCAAACTCACATTGGTTTCTCATACAGCATCTCTGTATAGTATGTGTATTCACTCTCATCTCCGAGGCTCCACTTTGTGACTCTGCAGACCGTTTACATGCATAAAAACCTTCATAACACACAAGGGGACGGGTAATAACCGGAAAAGCATGACATGGGACCTTTAAGTCATTTCCCTATCATGCAGCCTTTTAAATGTGGTCTCCAAAGTGCTTCCTCAGCATGATGTTAAAGTAAAGCCTTTTCATTGCATTTGACATGTATTCCCTCTACCAAGATGTGTTTGGAGTGCTGTGCATGTGTGTGTTGTATGCCCTGTACAGTCTTATGCAATTTAGTATCAGAGCATTTGGCCCATTGTGTCTTGAACCTCCCCCCCTGCCTCCTTGTAACTTTGTATTTATTATGATCCCCTCTAGCTGATGCTGATACGTCCTGGGGTCCACACATAAAAAATAACAAAAATATCAAGACATTAACACACAGGATCGAAGTAGTGCCTTTATACTTATGCCAGGAATGCTGGACTCTCAGCAACCTTTCCCCCCTCACTGACGCAGTCCGGCTTAACGTTTTTTGTCAGTTTTGGGCTTTCCTTATTAAGAATGAAGCCTTGGTCTTCCACAGGCCTCGTGGGAGGAAGTGAGGCCCCCGATTCAATTAGCTGTTGCAAGGTCACTACTACCGACAGAAACAGAGGCCACCAACACCCGAAACCCCCACACGCTCTCACACCCCCACCCTCCCCAACGCTCTCTCTTTTTTTGTTTACTGTGAGGTCAGACACTTCCTGTTGCTGCAGTCACATTCATCTTTGTGACACTTTGCTACTCGGTCTTTCCTCTTTTAAATGATTAAACATGTGCACACATCTTAAATATTTCGCCTGTCATACATAAGCTGTCCTTTGAAGCGTTTTAAACCTATAGCATTTGCATTATGATCAATGGCCTAAGAGACAAAGAGAGAACATTTAAATTATTTGTACTGGACTTTTCTAAGCCATGGTGTCTTCTGCAGTCAGTGTTGAAACCCAACACTTCTTTATTTGCACTCAGACCCCAGCGCCCTGCTCACATGACATTCACATGCATGAGCAGCCATTAAACATACAGTATAGGACAGATCCTCCAGCCTCGTGAGCCACAGAGCTGCTGTAAAATGTATTTCATCTTGTCTACGGGGGAACCTGTCCCTTTAGTAAATCAAAACACTTAACCTTAGATGGCACATTGTAGCAACACACATGTACTCCGTCTCTGTCCAGGCTACAGAGGTTTGTATCTATCTGTTATAGTCGAGGCAGATCCATGTAATGCCTGTGGCGAGGGCAGGAAGCGCTGTGTTGTGATAGCCGTTCTCCATTTCTCCCGAGGACACTTAACCCAGTATATAGTCCCTTCAAAGAGCCCCAACTAGAGCCTGCACGGGGAAAAAAAGCTCCTTCCATCTTGATTCTAGATTATCTTGATGTCTATAAAAAGGCACTGGAAGCATGTACATTTGGCTTGAATTGTAGTTATGAGAAGAATTGCATTTGGCTGGAACCACAGATTTTGCTCAGACGTGGCTTTGAGCTCAGCTGGCAGCGAGGGACGAAAGCTCGCTGGACATCTGTGGGCCACTTAGAGCTGCTGTGGCTGTGTGATTAGCAAATGAAAAAGCCAGGAGAGACGTTTGATCTGGAAAACACTCACACTGCTCTGTGCTACTGTCCCACGTTCACTGTGTGGAGGACTGAACGGGAAAACAAACCAAATGACTTCTTTCATTTATAACCTTATATTCCCTGAGTATGTTTGCTTATCTTCTATGATGTTTAAACAATCCATCTCATGTCAAATGTCTAAGTTATTCTTCCTGCAGCTACTGTTTGACCAGTTCAGTTAAGCAGTGATTCCTTTTGGAGTGACTGAGGGAAATGATTTGTATATTTGGAGTGGGATAAAAGTAGACACTAACCACTTGCAGATCTCCGTTATTTCCTTAACACGTGCTGTTTTACTCCTTGCTACGCATATTTAGCTACTGGCAGGCACATCACACATACAGCAGCAGTGCTGGCAGCGATGCAACACCATGTAAGCTGATATTTACCCGGACAGCGGCCAGCCTGCCCTCTCTCTGCTTACCTTTAAGCAACACATTGTTCGCTAACCACTTTATCCAGTCAAAACATTGCAGAACAAAGCCCTTTCTAATATTTGACAAGTGCTAATGCTCTCAGACACACACTCTTCCCCTCAAACCTAAAAATATGTATATTGTTGCAGCTCGGTATCATGCAGTAGTTCAGTTCAAAGCTGATCTGTACTGTACTTGGTGACCCTTGAAGATAAGGCTCTGCTGCTTCCTGCATGTGAATAACCTAACAAATTGCAGGAATGCATAAGCAGGAAACAACCCCGTCTAAAGAATGCAAACCTTGCCCTGCTTGGTTGGAATCAGGTGATGGCACGTGCGTGGAACAAACCTGAGACTGGAAGGGGGAGTTTCATGGCAGACAAGTGCACTTACATTTTATATGTCAAAGAAAAGATTACAGCTCTTGGTTGTACAGGAAACAACATGTTTTCCTGTGAAGGAGACTCCACTCAGCAAGTAGCTCCCAGGTCTGGACTGTGCAGAAGAGCTTTGATCTCCAGTTTATTGCCAATAAATGTAATTCACCTATAATAATTAGTGTTTTTTTTGTTGTTGTATCGCCTACTTAAAAACATTGTGTTTTGATTACAGAACTTCGGGGTAGAGACGGACAACTTAAAGAATCTGGTTGTGAGGATGAGAGCCGCCACCAACAGTCTACACATGGCCACGTCTGACCGCAGGAAAAGCCCAGCGTACGACGGCAGCATCTCTCGCAAGCCCCCCAACGACTTCCTCACCTCTGTGGTGGAGCTGATCGGCGCCGCCAAGAGCCTCCTGGCTTGGCTCGACAGGTAAAAACTTAGAAATACAGATCATTTTCTTCCAACAATAAATAAGTCTCAATGGATTGTAGAGAAGGAACGGGAATCTCGGCCCCCTAAACATTTTTCTGTATATGGTAATGTTCTCCTAGCTGTTCTCCACATTTCCTCTCAACGAAACCCCTTCCCATCTCACCCGTCTGTAATTAACACTACATACAGTTTCAAAAGAAGAAATGCGACGTCTGCTTTACAGCTGAAGTTGGAAGAGTCCCCTGTGCTCTCCTGGTGAACTGCTCCACATCACACCATAAAAGCACCGCATGTTATGAAGCAGTTTGCCAGGATTTAATGTTAGCTGGCTGACAATTAAGCTTCTCTCTTTGTGGGACACTAGGCTAAAGCGGGTAAATGATGTCATGATTTAAATGGCAGTTGTGAGATGGACGCAGCAAACGGAGTCTAAAGGTGTTGTGCTAAAGTTAGTCAATGTGCTTATGCCGCGTATAGATCATGTTGATGTTGATCAAAGCTAAACATAATTCATTTTAGATGAAGTTAGGGGGAAAAGAGACACTAAAGGAGATACAATGGCGCCAGAAAGGTGACATTCTTGAGTTACAACCAAGTCAGTCACCCACACACAGCAATCAGAGCAAGGTTCACTGAGTCTATTATAAAGTATAGTGTAAGTAGCTTATAGCTGACTCTGCAGTAAATCACAGGAGACGTATTCTTCCTGCACACTTTACAAAATACATATAGTCTAATTCATTATAGTGCAGAGAGTGCCTTAATTGGAGGTACAGAGTTCAAAGGGGGAGATAGAGGGGATGACATTCCCTGAAATGTTCTTTGGGTTCGGGAGTTTAACCCACGTACTTGGCAGTATATACTGTATATTACTAAGTCATAGTTAGTGGTGGTGTTGTACAGGACTGTATTACATTTAGATTTTTGTAAAATATTCTTCGTCATGTTTTAATTGAGTTGGGCAAAATATCAGAAACACCTCTATAGTTTATTGTAATCCACTGCTCAGTGCTCAGTAATAAACACATCATTAAACTAATACCTCTCTGACGGTGTTATTTAAAAAAGAACATTGTCAGAGTGAAATGTATCAATGAGCTTTTATGTTTGAGTAATAACACTACCACTGAGTGTGGCAATAAATATCTAACATTGTTGTCACATGCTTTGAATTTGAAATGTTGCGGCTTTGCGGTTTGAATGACTGAATCTCAACCCAACTCTGCAGTCCTTCCCTTGTCCCTAATGTTCTCCCTTTCCTTCTTTGTCTGCTTGCAGGACGCCTCTTACAGGGATCAGCGACTTCACAGCCACCAAGAACAAGATCATTCAGCTGTGCCTGGAGCTCACCACCACAGTTCAACAGGTCTGCACGCTAGTTAGCTCAGCAGCACATGTGCACTAGCTAGTCCCTGGGAAGCACACACACAATAGGTTTGCCCACTGAGCACATACCGACCACGGGGCACAGACATGCAAGATAAAGTGGAAAGAGAAGAGAGTTATGAGAAATGTGGTCTGGCATCCATGGCACGAGCCTGAAGCCAGTTCTCCGAGCACATTATTGCAAATGTTTTTCTTGGGCTCTTTTCCCTCCTCACGCTGGCTAATGAGGAGACCCCCAGTGCGGGGACGTTTTAATGGTAACCGTCACTTTTGTGTTTCCAGTTTCATAAAACCCACTGGTGCTCTTAAAGGTGGCTGCCAACATTCCCCAGGCTGCCGTCCTCCGTCAGCCATGTGGTTCACATTTTTGCTTCTCCAAGACGCTCGCAGTGGGAGACCAAACTGTCTGAAAGCACTTCCTGTTTATAGGTTTATGTGGGGATGAGGAGGTGGTCCATCTGACTGCCAGATAGACGGTTAAAACCGACATACATCCACTATATTCGCCACTTTCTGCGGAGCATTGCTCAAGCATTGCATCACGACACAGTTGGATGTCGTGTTCTGTTATTATCAGACAACCTGTAGAAGTCGGTCATACATATGTCTTAAACAAAGGGGGCTTGTGATTGGCCTTTTCTTTAGTGTCAAAGCCTTGTATGTTACAATATGTTCTCCCTAAAGGGTTTGACTTAAGCCACTCATTTTACAGTGCCAGTGAAAGTGGCTGCTGGGACTGCAGGTGTCATTTTGTAGAGGGTTATTGCATCAAAATAAATTCCTTTCCCAGAGTGCCTATTTCCACACCAGAGTCTGGGATTTCAGCGCCTCTGGTGATTTACTCTGGGTGTCCCGGTCATGGTCATCCAGGAGAAGTAGTGGGGGGTTTACATTTCCCACACTGCCATGTGAAGTGGGGAGGTTATGGTGTAGAATAAACTCCTGATTGGTGCTGAAAGAGTCTTGTAAGACTGGAGATTAGTTTCCTGCAACAACTGGAGGAGGGATGCTGTTTGGTCCTCTGGTATCTTCTAACTAGCTAACAGCTAAGTATGTAACTGCAGAAACACTGATGAGGACGCTTATAGAAGACACTTGGCCTCCTTCTTTTTTTTATATAGAAAAATATAGACTCCATTTGTTATTCAAAACATGTAGGCCAGAGTCTATAAGCGCCTGGTTAATAAAACAGGTTGTGCAGGAGACTGCCACAGTGGTTAGTTTTATGACGGGGGAGGACGGCGCGAGGCTTGCCCAGCTCGTTCATGAACTTCAGCCAAGAATTAGGGCTTTTCAGATCACACAATTTATGTGTTCTGCCTGAATGAAGCCTGTGTGTACATGCACAATGGGACACGGCCATAAAACCGTGAACGCATCACCCCGTCTTGGCTGACCCGTCAGCGTGGAGGTCATTCTCTCTCAAAGAGCGCATTTTTTTCATCGATCCCCCGTGTCTTTTATCAGCACTTCCCACTGCAGAATTGTTGGCTCAGAGATGAAGTTTTCTATCTCTTTATTTTGTAACGATAACAACAGAGATTGCATGATGTAGGCCAGGTCAGAAGGCCTGGTCTTTATTTAACTCCAGTGGTGTAAAGGCAGCTTCTCTCCCATCACCCGCAATGTGCCAGCACCACTCTCTCTCGGCCACTTCATTGCCCGTCCATGCAAATCCTCTCTGTTGGCAGATCAAAGGCCTGAAGAGCAGCACACAGTCATCTGATCCACACCGGCTGTGGGATCAAGTCCATAACGTAAGGGATCAGCACACCCAGGGAATTGTCCCTCTGCCTCTCTCAGCGCTTACTTACAATCTGGCTCCTCTCTACTAAAAGGACTGGACAAAGATATGGGATTCATTTGGGTATCATGAACAGATCTTAGAAGGATTATCCGCGATTGTATTCACATAATTTGATGGAACTATGAAACCTGAGGCATGTCCCATAAATGTTAAAAGGCTTAATGGGAGATATGCCAAGCCATGTCTGCAGCACATAATGATACTTTTATGTTTCACGGCATAAATATGTATTTTTATCCCATCCCTCTTGGCACGGTCAAGAGTGTAGTCATCCAAACATGGGCCAGTCTCTAAAGGAAATATGCAGTTACATGTTTACGCAAGTATAGCCAAATTCTTTCTTTAACCACCATATGTTCTTGGCTGCCTTCAGGAACTTTATTCAGGAAACATGAGTTTGGGACAAATACGTCAAATGGAACCGTGTTTGTTTTTCAATGTTAGTATTGGATTTCAACTTTCCCCTCATGTATGATACTTTAAAAGCCTTCCAAAACAGATCCAAATGAATCCTTAGGGAGACCGGGATGCACCCCGCTTTGATGTGAGGCCATCAGGGCCACAGACAGTCATGCTAATCCTGTCAACGCAAACTAACAGTATGACAAGCCAAGTGCGTCTGAAAGCAGACGCTCGCCTTTCGCCCGGTGGAATGTGCAAGCTATGGAAATATGGAAAAACTTGCTCGACCCCCATTCGCCGTCTGCACAATGAATTTACAAAGAGCAACAGAGCTGGCTTTGTACTTGGCACATGCCTGTGCATGTCACTAATACTGCGAGGTCCACAACACCAGTAGCCCTTTATTTTGCCTCGACAAAGGCTTGTGGCTGTGAGGGCTCTACAAATATCAGACACTTGAAGTAGATGTTCTGAGCTCTCTCAGTTTTGACAGAAGCATTTCACCTGTGTTTTGATCCGTGGCCTCCCTCGGGGCTTTCCCAGCATAGAGACAATTTCGTAAATAAGCATGGCCCCCCCACATGCACTGTGAACTCCCCCCCCTGCCTCGGCCTAACCAGGGGCCCTTTCAGCACTAACAACACAGTTGTCAGGGGAGGCTGTTGTCTCAGCTGTGGCCTGTCCAGCTGCAGTCTAAAGAGTGCTGTGTGCGGACCCTCGGAAGAGTCAACGGTCAGTCTCTCAGCTGACTTTACAGAATGTATCATTGATGGCAGCTACTGTGTCTTTCTCCCTCCACTTTCCACCGTGGAAAGCAGCAATGCATCCAAACATTTGCGGAAAACCAAAGCGCTATTTGGATGAGGGCTTTCTGAACATCATTACATGTTTTGACCCAATGTTTCCCACCGTGTCATCTGCACATTGTTACTATATGAGCGTTAGTATGGTATTTACGTACTGAATCACTGCAATTACAGTCTCCCCCAGAATTTAGGGGAAGAGAGGTAATTTAAATCTAAAAGCTGTTTATTTGAGGCCGTTCTCCATTTTTCCCCAGTTCTATATCTGGAATGCTGATTATATCGTTTTTACCCAACCCCTATACTTTTTTTCTCTCTGTCTCCATCCATTGAATAACCTCTTCCTGTGTGCTGTTGTTTACTGCTCACACTCCTAATCTGTCATCACTGTGTGCTGTGTTACAGGACTGCAGTGTTTACGAGATGGAAGAGAAGATCCTGGAAGTTGTAAGTAGACTCTATCTCTGTCCTAATGTAAACTACATGAGATCCTCAAGTTTCTACACAGGGGGGAAACAGTCTGCTAGATTGTTTGGGTAAACGTCTCCTTTACTCAGAGTAGCCAGGTCCGTTTTCTGACTGAATGCAGCAGACGGGTCTAAAGGATTGCCAACAGAGGAGGCGGCTCTAACACGCCCCCGGCCATCAATCACTACTTCCTGTTCCTGACACTCGCCAGACCCCTTGGGCTAATGCTAAGCTTCCTCTAGCACTCCATCTCTCTCTCAGACAACCCAAATAAAGTCCATATTAGAGCCAACGTCCTCTTTTGTTTCATGCTCATTTTATATAAATGGTCCATACAAATTGCAAGAGTGGACATCACAGAAAAAGACCCCTGTTATGATGACAAAAGTTAAAACAAGCAAAGAACAAGGCAGAAAGAAGGGCGGTGTGCAAAGGACTGATTTCATTGTTGTGTGTGTGCGCTGCTTCTTCCACTTAATCGCACACCAATGGTCCCTTCTTTTTTTGCCCATTTAGCCGAGCACTAAATGGGAACATACACACAGAGGCATGTATACAGGGCGCTGAAGGATAAGTGCTATGTGTCACGAGTAGCAGTGTAACAAGACTTGTTCCAACCTGTACAACACACAAGGCACACACACACAAGGCACACACACACAATTGAATATTTAGAACACAGCTTGTAATCACTGTAATACGTTTATAAGCACTACTTATTTTATTCACTGATGCCTTTTCCTCTGCAGTCGAAGATTCTGAACAACATCTGCGATCAGACCGTGAGAACCACCTCTGACCCCCTCATGAGCCAGTCAGCCTGCCTGGATGAGGTCCAGCTGAACAATATCAAACCGGGAGAGGGCCTGGTAAGGAATGCTGGGAGATCTTTTTTATTTGTCTTCCTCATTTTTTGTTTCCACCCTAAATCAAATGTCGGCCATTTGGAGGCAGGCTGGGAATGCATGAAATGTGTGTCAAATTGTGACCCTCACATATCATGTCATACATTTATCTCCCTTTGGGAATATTATGTCTTAACGGAAAAATGTGGGTTTTCTTTTTTCCCTAGGGGATGTACATCAAGTCTACGTACGATGGGTTGCATGTCATCACAGGAACCACAGAACATGTGAGTATGCTGACCTCAAGACCACTTCAGCCCCAGAATGAGGAAGTAGCCCATTCTTTGTCATGTGTCTTTTCTCATTTTAAATGACCAACTTAGAAATCCCTATATTATTTCACATTAATCTTAAGACCAAGCTTCTCATACTGAAAAAACACCTCCTCCTCCTCTTCATATTCTCTTTCTGAGAGCACACTTACTTATCCGAAGGAGTTGAGAACTACTCATCCGTGAAGGGAATTGTTTGTGGTATTTACCTATGACTGTACCGGAGTGAAGAAACAAACAGCCTCCACAAAAAAAGAAAGTCCTACCTTTTTCCCACACGGAGACAACCAGTCAGTGACTAACACACAGCATCACTGCCACGGTTGGATCCTCATGCCTCCGGTCCGTAATCGTGAATCAGGACCTGAATCATCACCGATAATAACTAGTTTATCACGTTTGATATCCGTGTGACATGAAACACAATTAAATTAATAATTAGAGGGTGTTTGTGTTTTTCTCACGAATTGAACCCGTTTGAATAAAGAATGTTAGAGGCAGTTGGAATCAAAATAAACTAGCTCCAATTTCATCAGTTTTGTAAATAGTAATGTGTTAGCAGCAGGTGTTTGACCTTTACTATGTTTGTTATTCAGTCACCTGCAGACCTCTCTAGGAAGATCCATGCTGGCGATGAGGTGATCCAGGTCAACCATCAGACAGTGGTAAGTGTTTTTTTTTTGTCCTTGTATATCTTTATATTTAACCATACATCTTGTCAATTTGAGCACACACTATGAATATTAAAGAAGAATTGTTGTGTTTGTTCCAATGAACCAGGTGGGCTGGCAGCTGAAGTACCTGGTTGTCAAACTGCGGGAGGACCCAAAAGGTGTGGCCCTACTCCTTAAGAAGAGGCCCACGGGGCCAACAGGTTTCACCCCCGCCCCACTCAAGAACATGCGCTGGAAGCCCGCAGTACCACAGGTACATGCACACAAGCACACAGACTTCCTGCTGTCATTATGTGCGATCAACAAAAGCCTGTGCCAATTATCAGCTTTTGAGGGAGTTGTTTTCTAAACCAGCAAGTTCAGACAAGTGACACAGAGCCACCCTGAGAGTGCTGCCGGCTCCACTGAATAGAACATCGAGTTGTCCTTCATGCACAACCGCGAGGCAAACAAAGTCCCGTGATGTCATTAAGTCTAAGAGATAAAGCTGCCAGCCTTTAAAGGGGCCCTATTATGCTCATTTCCAGGTTCATATTTGTATTGTGTGCCTCTACTGTGACATGTTTAGATGCTTTATTAATCAAAAAGGTCTTTATTTTTCTCATACTTCTACACCTCTTTTCACCCTCTGTCTGAAACCAGAGCCCAGTCTGCTCTGGTTGGTTAGCTGGCCGGCTCTGTTTTAATTGGTCATCCGCTTAGAGACGTCCTCCCTTAGCCTATCACGTAAAATATGTTGGAAGGCTAGCCAATATAAGTGTGTTACGTAGTGATGTCACTATGTCACAGAAGGGTCCAATGGAGCCGTTTTGGGGGGGAGAGAGAGAAACTCCCTCTGGCGTGAATTTTATTTCTTTTAGCCTTTGCTGACCATTGACATGAAAAAAAAACCTATATAACACACTACAGGAAAGGGACATCCCAAAAAGTATAATAGGGCCTCTTTAAGTAGTGTAGCCTGGTTAGATTGTATCTGACTTATTAAAAAGAGCCCATATGTTGCCATCCCATAGACAATGGGTCATGGGCGGTGATTCATGTTATTTGGGTTCACCCTCCGTCTTTTTTTTCGTACAAAAAGCAAACACTCCAAATGTCTATTGTTCGAAACTAAGTCAAGGGTCGCTGATAAATATTGGGCTAATAAGGTTATGTGACTATAATCCAATTTGCTCTCCTCCCTCGTGAACACATTAGGCTCAACTTAGCTTTTAACCACATCTCTTGCACCTGAGTCCCCTTTAACAGACAAGCAGACAATGAGCCCATTGTTAACCAAGACTACCAACATGTCAACCTCTGGTTTTGTCTTATCATGTGTAGCCGGAGAAAGCAAGATGAGAAGATATCAGACAAGAGTGGGTTTCTCAAAACAACAAAGAGCCTCTCAACACTAATGTCAACATCATTGCCAGCATCCTGTTTTAACAAGCAATCAAGGTTATCAGAGTTAGACATCTCTATCTGCGATAATAAGGACAGAGCGGAGACAAATCATACACCCTGATTCAGGAATGAAGGACATTGGCTTTGTAATACTGTATAATGTGTACACATGGGAGCTATTTGGAAAATAAAGGAGGGAAATGATTCATGAGATGCCAAATCTGATGTTTAGTTTGTCATTTATTTATCCCATCGACTACTTCAGACGTATCATTTAGTTCTCTATTCAAGGGCACAATGTTGTTGAGTGTTGGAAAACATAACTGTGGTAAATGAGTACTTTTTTTAAGTACATGTCTCGCGGGCTATTTTGGACTTCACTTACAATCTTTCCACCTCAAACAAGAAGGTTTTTACTCGCACACAAGCACTTAAACGTCTCACCACATGTGGTCAACTCCTCCTAGTTGCCAGCAAGTCCTATTTAGTCTGAAGAAACGGAAAGCAGTGACTTAATTTGTTTTGAACTGTAAACTGATATTGATGTTTATTTTTTCAGAACAATTCCTCCTTGATCAGAATCCAATCTCCCTGCGGTTCGGCCAACGGATCCGCCAAGAAGGAGAAGCCGGCCATCCTGAACCTGTACATCCCCCCCCCTCCTCCAATGCCTTACACCCCACGGTAAGCTGTCCCATAAGCTTTAGTTGTATTTAATACGTTGAGTTCTAAAGTTGCAGCATAAGAAATAATCCATGAATCAACTCCAAACATATCCACTATACAGTCAACCCTTGCCACATTTCCTCACCACACATCAGATGTAGAACGAGTGTGTCCCGGACTCGTGATCACCTCCCCTCCCTCACCTCCTACAGCACATTGTGTTCAGCTTGTCTTCAGCCCACTCCCCTCCCACCAGTCCCCCCATAGTTCTTACGCAACGGCTGTTTCATCTTCCACCTCCAGGAAGAGAGCAGAACGTGGTCACACTCACTTCAACGTTTCTATTGAGCCTTTTAAATGAAGCTTTGAATGTCTGTTGTCAGATTTCGAGGCATCATCAACCCTTTTTTTTGTAATATAAATATAATGTATGGTTCTGTTAGGTTGCTGCTAGGTAGGACTGTTAATACAGGTCTGTACCTCATCAAGCCAGAGCAAACTATTATTTGACTGCAGTGAATATTTAGTTTTGGAAATGCTCAAACATATGGAATGATGTAAAAGCATTCTTATGTTTATTTTTTCTATAAATGTTGACTTTTTGATGCTCTGGAATTATTGGAAATATTAAAAGTCAGAAACAATCCTACACAGCCACCGCAGGAAGCTTTTTCCACAAATAGCATGATAGTTATTATATTAGCGTAGATGTAGAAATTGAAAATCAACTACATGAACAACTCCTGAAACGATTCAGTCCTACCTAAATGTATTTGTTTCTAGTTTCTAGCACATCATATTTATTGAGTTCAAGACGCATAACATCATTCTGCTTACAAACCATCCTAATGGTGTTATGCTGCCAACTGTGGAGTGTGAAGTTGTGGTGTAATGACTTAATGAGCATTTGTTTCTCCACACAGAGAGGGAAGGACAGAAACCTTCAGCAGCATCAGCATCAGTAAAAGACCAAAGGGCTCTGAGTCTCCAAACTCCTACCTGGACCAGGAGAGGATGAGGCACTGCACCATCGCAGAGTACGACAAGCTGAGCTTCGGCTGTCCCATCGAGGCCAACGTGATCCAGAGCAGACTGCGGGAGCACAAGCCCTCGCGTGGTCAGTCATCATTTCTAACCTTCAAATCTCCAAAACTTTCCAACAGTGGATAATGAATAAATATGATATTAAATGAATGCAATGTTAAACTCTTGTCTCCAGGGAAGCCCCGGCCCCTCTCCATGCCAGTGGATACCTGCCTGGGTGTGGTAGACCCCTACGCTAAGCCCTGGACACAGGGAAGGAAAGGTATTGACAAGCATGCTTTCACTTTGATGCAAAACCACTATAATTCCATAGAAATGAAGATACCTTGTATACCCCCAAAACGTATAACTTTTAAAGGAGTACATATTTGTGGTTTGACACTTTTTGAACTCTTTTTACCCTCGTGTTCCATACAGATAATGAATAATAAAACTACACATTAACAGGCCAGAATCAAGATTATTACATATTTATCGCTAATGATGGTACATTTACAACCAATTATAAAAATGTGTCTATGTATAGACAGAGCTTCCTTGACCATAAGATGCATCTCATAAAAGATGTTTAAATATGCTTGAGTTAATTGTACATTATTTAAATTCACAGAGCCAGGCTAGTCGTTTCCTGTCTTTATGCTACACTAGGCTAATTAGCTGCTATCTTCAGTACCATATTGAATGACAGATCTGAGTGGTATCAATCTGACTTCTGGTTGTCTCTGTGCCTCAGGTGAAGACCTCCTCCACAGATACCTGAGCAACGAGAGGATCCCCACCATCGCAGAGGAGGCCCCCTCGGTGTCCCCCTCGGTGTCCCCCCCCCTACAGGCCTGCGGGGGAGCGTCACCTGGTCAGAGTGGACCACATCAGGGGCAGCCGCTACTACTCCAACTCAGACCTCCACAACAGCGCCACCATCCCCTACCAGGAGGACCTGAAAAAGACCCCCGTAGGCCCCGCCTCCAAGCGCGCCACGGCAGATCGCTCCTTACTGGTCAGTTGGATCATGCGGCTTAAGCTATTGACTCACTGATGATGCGCTTCCTGTCCGGGGCTTCCTGTCTATTGTCCTTCCTCAGTGCCTTTTTTTAAGTCCAGCTGTTTTTTTTTTTTATAACAATTTTGGGCTTTTTCTCACACTCCTCTCTCCCCCAAAACCTCCATATTTCCCTGGTGTAACTACTACTACCAACTACTACTCCTCAACCAAACCTGCTTTTGTAGTACTACATTACATCATCACCCCTTTAACACTGGCTACAACCCTCCTCGTCTCTGACTACAAGTCCCATCTCTGCCTCAAGAAGACACAGTTTGTTCAGGTTTAGGACACTCTGGCCTTTTGTGCTGTCTACGGACTCCTCTGTACATATTAAGCTATGTCATGTTTCAGTTGTAATGCTCTCTGGTACCGTTATTTAATACTTGCCTGATATTTTGTCAGATATTTTGATTTCATTTGCATAAATAAGTTATAAGAATACAGCATATTTTGTTAGTAATACTGCTGTAACTCAATCATGTCCCTTTTTTTCTTTCTCAAATGACACTTTTGTGAGTTGGTTACATTACCCTCTACCAAAGGTTGCCTCTTGTAAGCTATGCACACACTTCAGAGAGGATTTAATGGTCACTTTAGTTGACGATGTTGCATTGGTTGGTAAAAAGGATGTTTAAACTAGCAAATATTTGTGCTGGTTTTAAAGCTATGCACTCCATTTCAGTAAACTTGTATATCCTGTGTTCTCAGTTGACTCTGAAATGACCCACCTAAAGGGCCTACACATACCGCTGGTTGACAGTAACAAATGGTCTTTTTAAGCCAATGTCTTTTTTGACACACTGGTGTAATGGCCTTCTATTTTCTGACTGATCACAAGAGACAGAATGACAGTATTATTTTTTTTTAAAAACAGGGAAGAAGTGTCTGTTGTTGCTTTAACTGCCTTTTGTAAGTTTTGAATAGCCTTTTATTAAAAATTGCCGTTCATGTCAGTGATCATTTGTATTGTCTTTATTTTACCATTGGGTGTGGAATTTCTGCTTAACGTGTAACTACAATGTAGCATGCAGGATGTTATTATATCCTAAAAACTATGTTGTTTAAGTATCCCTTTACATACACAAACAGAAATGCCATATTTTATAATAACACTGTCAGTGAGGGCAGCCTAAGTCATTATTAACCTTCAGGACCAAAGTATTGAAGTGGCGGGCTTCTAACCTGCTTTGACCTTTTGAGGTGAACCCTCTTGGGGTTTTTAAGCATGCGGTGAAACAGGATAGCTAATGTCGAGTTACCTTTCTCTCTGTGTCTCAGATGGTGATGCTTATGCAACTACCTCCCTCTTTGATAAACTTTAACGTCCAGCTGGGGGACCATATGGTCAAAGCAGGTTTTTTCATCGGGGGATCTTATTCCTGCACATATGTTGCTTTTTAAACATTTAAAAGCCAGGTTAGGGTTACTGACAAGCTTTGGCCGTTTTCATTGATTTTGAAGAAGTGTTTGCCTGGGGAAAGATCAGCAGCTTTGCATCATGGAACCGAAGACCTGACTGCTGTCGAAAACATCCCCCCCCCCTCTTTCCCCCTTTGCCTTTTTCTCTGTGCATGACTTTTTTTGGAGATGGGCTTTTCTTATCTATCCACTTCTTCTTCTTCCTCGTGTCTCGCTCTGCCCGAGCTTGCTGAGCCATAGTCGCCTGCGGTCCTTCACTAATTTGCACGTTCTGAAAACTTGTGGTCTGCCTAAATACTACCTGCACTCTGTTTAACCCACTGCTAAGTTTACTAACCACTAACATGTCATGCCTGCACATCCTGAATGGTCACATGGGAATGAATTATGGCTTGTATATGCATGTGGAATATTGTTTATTTGATCAAAAACGACATTTGAATGCAAAGAATGTTGTGTTCTCCATTTTCTTTTTTCCTATTAAGAAGACATGAAACGACACATAATTAGCAAAAAAAGTATATAGTTTGTAATGTGAATTGAAGTCCACATGCCACATTTACAACTTACACATTTACAATTTAGCTGCCTGCTAGATAAGACGCTGCAGTTTTACAGTTAATTTTAGTTTGAGAGTGTATGTTGAATGATTAGGATAAACAAAAACAACAGAACAATCTTAGAATGATCAACAGCATTCCTGAGGGAATTTTTGCGTATTTTAATCAAACTGAGGCTTTCAGTGCAACTATACAAGATTGGTCTCCAACATGCGTTAACGTCAATCTTTATGTATCGCAGGGACCTGACTGGCACTCTAGCAGTGACTTCCTCAACCGGTAAGTTCCTGACTCTCTACCACACACACACACACACAAAAACATATTTAAATGCAGTGTTTTATAGTTTATGGGCCAATAGAGAAACCTAAGAACAGGGTGGGTCTAATTTTCCTACAGGGAGTGACAGTTAGCTGGCCGTGGAATCTTTTTAAAACAAGCCACAGGGTGCAGGGTCGGTGGGTGGGCTGCTTTTATCATCAGGGAAAATATGCTATAGATGACCAGGCTGAGATTCATTCAGGAAACAGAGAGAGAAACAGATGCCGACAGCTGTAAGGTAAAAACTGTAAAGTTAATATCCAAGAGTTATGGTATATCAGTTGTTTAATTCCAGGACATTAAATCATCTTAGTCCATTTTTGCTTGTGGCCTTAGGAAACATTATTGAAACTGATTTCCTACACCAAGAATAAAAATAGATTTCCTTATCTTATCAGAGCAAAGAATCCTTAAATGTGTCTGAAAACGTGTCTTATCGGCTTAAGTTAACAATGATGAAAGTATTAAAACATGTAGTAATCTCAACTTTATCATACCTCTGCAGAAGAGTTAATGGATATTTTGTTGAAGTGCCAACATTTCATAGCCTTGTTTAAAATTATATTTGTGTTTTTGGAGACATTGTTATCTCTCAGGACCGGTTCCCACACACCAATGTGTCCATCCAGACACCTTCACATGCTGCACAATCCTTAGAAATGTCACTGTTATGACAAACCCTGACTCTTCTAACTATAAATAACAGCATCCTTCTGCGAAATATGGCGAGGATTGCATTTTCGTCATCAGTGGCCCCTGTATCTCCTCTGGTCTTGGATGTAGGGCCCGAGGAGGTGTGACTCCCCACATTAACACCGTGATTGATGACTAAACCTCTCGCACAATACCCAGCCTGCTGCCCTCCCTGGCAGTTCTATTCTGAGAGCCAAACACATGGCATCCTGTTTGCTGCACGCTCCATCAAAACACATTACTCACATGTATGATATATAGAGAGATGCTATTGTAGTTCTTGCAGATACGCAGTTGACTCATCGCTGGTGTAGGTTCATAAACGTGCGACACTGATGCAGGCGAGGGTTGATTGACGGCGGATTTAATCAAGTGTCAAATTAATCATGGCGTGTTAATCCGTAAAGAAACTAAAAAAAAGTTGTTTTCCTCATGACAAAGCATGCAATATGTAAATTGGCAAAACCATTAATTTGGTTACCTAGGAAAGTAGAAATATTTGACGGTGTAATGCAGCAAATAAACCACATTTCCTTAAAAAAATATGTCATTTAAAGAGGAGACACAGACTTGAATATGGATAATAGGATAAAGACAAAACAAAATATGTTAGCAATTAATTTGCAGGAAGAACAAGCTGAAGACAATTTCATTGCAGAGTGAGGCCCAGCTGAGGTATATCGAGTATTTTCATCATTAGTAACAAGTTTCATGTCTACCCATGCTGCTGTGGCTGAATGCCAGTCCTTTTCCAGATCAAGTGGCTGTTTTGTTCAGGTTATATCAAAGAAAGATACATTGGAGCATAGATAAAATCATGTCTGCGAAGCAATAAGTATGTGTTGGAACTCTGAAGTCACTAATGTCTGATCTAAAGTATGACGGATAGATGAGGCGTCTTAGAACTGCTTGATCAGCGTTAATGGTCCGTTTAAAAATCATTAAGTGTTGACTTTCATTATCTTTACTTTGTTCTTACAGGTATAATCAACCACAAATACGATCCTGGTCCTTCTCCCAAGCAGTAAGTATATTGTGTTGGGTTTATCTGAAGTGAATGCTATCAATCCTGCACCAGATAAATGTATGTGGTCAACCAGTTGTGCAATGTAAGGAATGCCACTTGCTCTCAGCCTTGGTAGAGGGAGGTGAAACTAAGAGCCTCAATTACAGGCGTGTTATTTTGCACACAGATATGACAACGCAGACACTTTCCTTCTTTTGGACACAAACCACCAGAGCCAATATACAGTAATAAAACATGCAGGCCTTGAAGATGTTTAGTCTGAGTCGACACTGGGAATTCTTCCCTTTTAGCTATTGCAATGTTGGTATACCACATTGGTCCAGACCAAAATATCACACCAACTTTTGGATGGATTACTATGAGATTTTGTACAGATAATAATGGTTCTCAGAGGATTAATCCTACTCATTTTGGTAGGCCCATGGGTTTTCGTTATTCACTTTGAGCAACATGTCTCAAAAACGATTGCATGGATTGTCTTAAATAACTTTGGTGATTCTTTAAAGGAGGAATATTATGAAAAACTCACTTTCTTGTATTTATGTATTTAGAATGCTTTCCAAAAACCAACACATTTTAAAAAAAGACAACCAAATGTAGTTTTATATTTGCCCACTTGTTTAGAAAACATGGTTCTCAGCAAGCCATCCAAATGTGGCTTTCCTTCCTTTGTCAAATACAGTCTTATTAAAATATACAGGCTCCCACCTGAGTATATTTAAAGAGACAGATGCTAAAACTAAACGTTTCAGTCAGACCATTAATACAAGTATTTTCAGACTGACACTATGAGAAAATAAATTTGCTTTTTGAACATTGATGCATGAAAAAATGTTCTTGTAGAAAACCCAAACACAATATGAACCTGGAAATGAGCATGATATGTCCCCTTTAAAGTTTCATCTTGCAGTATTCTCAATATTACCATAACAATATTACATAACCTTTGCTATGAGTTTGATGCTGCTAATTAGCAAAAAGCTAACGTGCTACCACAATAAACTAAGATGCTGAACATGCCAAACATAAGCACCGTGGGCAAGTAGCTCAAAGCAGTTCCTCACAGAGCTGCTAGCATGGCTGTAGATTATTTTTCCTATTCCTCATCGAAGGTGCTAAAAGTGGAAATTGTTCAGCATCTATTGACTCTGGCAGGTGTAGAACTGAAATGACCTAAAGGGTAAACTAAGGCTGTCTTTGCACACACCTCTGGGCCATACATATGAGTCACTGTCAATCCCTTAGCAGCATACACCCCGGAGGTGGTCAGATGGATTAAGCCAAAGTCAATGGCGGAATGTGAACAAATCCCATTTGTTCAGATTTATGGTTCAATGGCAACTTGTTGTTGCACCAAACAAGAAAACCTTGACCCCTCTGTCAGCAGCTATATTAAAGTCAAAGTCAAAGTCAACTTTATTGTCAATCTCAAAATATGTTTGTACACACAGAAAGATCGAAATTCTGTTTCCCACAGTGCCGAGGTATATCAAAAACTCACACATTAAAATGCAAGAACACTCAATAATTTACAAAAAAAACGTTTACTTCAGTAAGCAGGATATATATAAAAAAAGATGACCCAGGAAAGAATTGGGATGACAGTTATGAATGGAGTGTTTTTGCTTTTTTTCCCTTTTGGATTATTTGTGTGTGTACCTTTTATAGACCGAAACATCTGCTGCATAAAACAAAACTAAATGTTATTAAAAATCCTCATTACAGTCATCAAAACAGCATTTAGAGCTATACTGACTCAGTGAGCATGTGTAGCCACATCTAAACTGAGGTGGTGCCCATGTGCCAGGGCAACAGCAAGTGAGGGGCATGCAGCGCTGTCAAACTGAGCAAGCAAGAATCTGATATCATTTCCAGCCCTGCACCCTTCCCCCTTTACGCTGTGTGACGAGATTCCCCTGCTGAATAATAGCCACTCT